GTCAGCTCAGCCGTTTATGAGTTGCTTCTAAAAAATGCCAACTGCTGGCGCTCGGTCGTTCGCTTTCTCGAGTCGCACGTATCGTTTGATTACCACCCGGTCGTCATTAGTGTGAAAGCGCACATCGTGCGAACAAACAACGCCGTCCATTCGTTGTCAGACAGCCTCGGCGAGAGATAAAGAGGGCGAGGTGACGTCGCTGAAAGCGAGTGCAGTTTGCTCGGCCCAAATCGAGAGTCCCCGAACTTCACGTCGTAAGTGAAACAGTCATCGCCCCTGGCACTCTCAGAACTCACCCTCATCACGGCACCCATCAGGTTGCCAACGGCACGTTTTTGTTCTTTGTCGAATTTCTCTTTCCCGTCCGGCTCGAACACGTCATTTTCATAGGCACATGCTGGCAATACCAAACGAGACGGTACTTGTGTGCATAACAGACGTTTCGATATGAGCTGCGCCTTTCTTACGACAGCTCGTCAGCCATCCCCGACGCACAAAGCGACGATTATTTGAGCAGTTTTCCTCATTGCGGCGGACGACAGTCACTAAATGGCAAAATGACTTGCACTTGTTCAAGGTATTTGCAGCAGCGAGTTCAAGAGCGTGGTTTCATTTAAACAAGAACTATGTCATTATTATGACCCCCTTCACAATGTTTCCTCACTGCAGATAAATACATTGCGTGAATTCAACGAATTCGCGCAACTCGATACCTATTATAAATTTTAAGCCTCATCGCAGTTTCAGGGCGTTATAGCACCACTTCTTAGATGTTATGCATTTTGCACTTGCAACTTTTGATACATTTCGCGTTATACGTAGATTTTTCACTTTGAGTAACCGGATATTACATCCTGCTATAATTGATCCGTGAAAGCTCGAACAGACATTTCCCAGAAAAATTTCCTTGTTTACGTCTTTGGCGTACTTCCAGAGACAAGCAGCATAAAAAAATTCAGACCTTATAAAAAATGGGCCGATTTAAAATGCATAAATTCAATGACAGCTTACAAATCACTAAGTTTCGTCGAATAATCGAAGTCCCAAAGGCAAAAGACAGTACTGCTTATTCGAAAGTGTGCACTTGCTTTTTTAGTCACCGTTAAATTGTGCGTAAGGTATCAGCACGTTGGGAAAGAGGATAAGTGATGAGTAAGGAATTTCTGGAAGCCCATCATACTGCTACTGAATAATATTTCACATGCGGTGGTAAAAATGAATTAAAAGGTTTCCTAAACACTAAAGTGTATAACATCGATGATCAGAGCAACTTCGTTATTAGAAACAACGAAACAACAATACATTATTCATCTTGACGCTTGCTACTTTAAGCGACGTTGGACGAGGAGGAGGAAATAAAAACGACTTTTCCATCAGGCTGCTCCGCATTCAGAGCAGTGAAAAATTTCATGCAGACCCATCTTCTACTTCTACTGACGGTGGGCTAACACCATCATAATTAATAACTTGTCTTCCAGCTTCTTCGATTCTGAATTAACAGAGCATATAAAGGAAACTGCTTAATTAATCACTCACTGAGTCAGTCAGATTCAGAGACAGTTTGTCCTTTTGGATAGCGAAGATAGACGCGTCAGACAGATTCTCCAGTGTTCCCGATGCTGTTTCGGAGTTTGAGATTAGGCAGAACATTATCAGGGTCTAGAGCAGAATGTATCGCTACATTTACCACATTTCATTTTGGATCGTCCTCGGGCTCTTAGCCCGGTCGATTGAGAAATCAGCAGTTATTTCGCCTTCCTTACTGGAAGCATTCACAACACGTGCCCAAACCATCGCAGCTGTAACTTCTCAGTCTGCTGAAGCGCTGGCTATATACCAAGGTCTTATCTGATATCTGTGCTCCCAACCGAGTCGATGTGCGAGAACCCAGCGATTCATCTCAAAAAGCCCTTTAGACCCGCTTTTACCCGTGATCGAAGTTTTTCAATCATAGTTCACTCTCATGCCGGTGCGCATCGAAATGAAGATCGACCTGAACACATTCTTCAGACTCAGCTCTGATTTAGTCACAACACTTCTGGATGCTTCACGTAGAACGTCGCTAACCATTCCAACTTTCAGATCGACCTCTTCCTTTCATTTTCAATCATCAGTAAACAGGACTTGGAAGTACGAACTTCGCCTGCTTCACTGTCATTCCGTTAATCTGAAGAGAGCAACGGGCAGGAGAACAAGAAAGCACTAGGCTTTTCGTTTTAGATGCGTTTACACGCATACTGGCCACACTGCATTCAGCTAGAACCTTTCCAGAGAGCTGTAGATGAGTTTCAGAAGATGGCAATAAAACAAGGTCATCTACAAACAGCAGTCTTCTAGTCTCGATATCTCTTACACTGGTGCATTCATCGCCTTGGTCACTCCTGGCTATTCTATCCATGTACAACACAAACAGGAGAGGGGACAAAACTCAGCTTTGGTGAATACCAATGTCGACTTAACGCCATTTACTATGACGTATCACCTGCTACGGGTATATACTTATTGGATGGCTCGTAGCAACTGGCCGTCGATCCCATAATGACACCCCTATAACGTTTAGCGCGAGATCTGGTCATTGGCTTTGTCTGGGTCAACAAAGTACATGGAAACCGGTTAAGCGATCTCCTATCATTTCTCAACAATCTGGCATAAAGCAAAGATATTATCGGAGGTACTTCAGCTGACCGAAAGCCACACTACTCTTCTTGTATCTCTCTTCTATCCGACTTGTTTTTGTCAGAAACAGAATCACATACGCAAATCGATGTTCTTTTCCTCTTTTCGCCGTTGTGTCCGTTTCTTCCACCGCTGGTGAAACAGCATCCTCACTGGGTCGTTCCAGGGTGTTACTGGGCGAATCAGATGAACTTCTGTCGACCAGTGGGGTTCAGTTTGTAGCTCGCTCGTCTCTTCGAGTATTAGCCTGCAGGCTGCAGTGAGTGCATCTAGAAATCGTGTCCGATACTGAACTATCGAACGTGGAATTTAGTCTTGAAGTGAGACCTTACGTACTGTTGTTTCCATTTCCTTCGACATCTACTTCATTAAGGCGAAGAACAACAATGCAGATGTTCTCGAGGCGTACGAAACCCGAAGATCTGGCAAATTTATCACACACTGGAACAACGTGGTCAAATATTCATCGGGAAAGCATAAGAAAACCGAGCTTGGAAGGGCGGCGTAGGATTTGCCGTAAAAACGAGGGCTGTACTACTCGAACATGTTTCTTTATACCTTAGAAATAATTATTCTCTCTAATACTATTACCCCAACTTTCCTAGGAAGAATCAATAAGGTAATACCTCAATTATTGGATCACTCCCTATAGTGTCCCTTCTTGAATCCCGCGAATCTTTCTGCGGTTGTTCTGGGTTAAAGCGTTCCTCAGTATGTCCTCATCCTTGCTAAGAGCAGATTTGTCCTTCAAGAATTTGACACTGCCCTTCTTTCTATCTCGGAGGCGGTGAATGTTCTGTTAGGACACCTTATTTGCTGTCTAGAATTTCGTCTCTAACACCTCACTGAACGTTTTCCAAGGATCACCTGTTTCCTTTATCACTGATTTTCTTGCTGCCTTGAGCACTTCTACATTCGAACTGAATCCAAACTACCTCATGAATGCAGCTTTTTTCTAGCTGAGAGCCATTTGAATCTCTCCTGACAGGAAGTTCATTTCTGACATCAAGACTGCAGAAAAATCCGTTTTAGACCACAGCATCCGAAAGCAGCCCCAAGAAAGCCGCTTTTAAAGATGTTGCACTCCGATTCCATGTCATCATGGATCCGATGGATCCGTCGAAACCAGCATGCGATGTTGTCGGCAAGTTTCGCTCTCGTATCCGCTGAACTTAATGTTTCCCATTTGATTCTCTGATTGCTTCTGCCACTAGTGGTACCGCATGATACTTGATTCTCGCAGCATAGCGTGCCAACAACAAGGTGATGATCGGTTGATAGCTCTGCGCCTCTCTTAACGCGAACATCCCTTACTGAGTCTTAAGTCAGACGATACGATTATCAAATCGTATTATCATGGACAATCGTGCACAAGCTTCCTTGTACCAGGTATACTGATGCACACTTCGATGCTGTTAGAAGGTTTGCATAAAACCGCAACAACTTCATGCCTTCATGCGGTTATTGTTTGAGGTCGCACTTTCCATTCACGCCTTTCCAATTTTCGGTCTCTGCTTCGGCAAGCACATTGAAATCACTCATTAGAATGATAAATTCCATAGTCGGCATTTCCTACAAGTACCTTCTACTTCCTCCGGGAGGACTCATAGCCTGTTGACAGATGTCCATTCAGTGATTATGTTAGCCAGGTTGGGTTCCACCAGTTCAGCAAAGGCCTGAATGCTGGTTGTGAATTCGACACCTGAATAGAATATCTTCCACCCACAAGAGTTCAGAATTCCAGAACTCTGGCGCTTCGTTAACGAAAGTCCAACTATGTCCATTCAGCAACTTGCGGCCTCATCAACTAGCTCCTGCTCTTTCCCTCTGAGAGGGGAGATGTTCTAATTTCCGACGTCGTCTTTTCGTCGGTCATTGCGAAGGTGACTGTCTCTGCTGCTGCTACGCCTCCAGCTGCCGCAAGACGAGTTGGAGGTTCTGATCGCTGACTTTTCGCAGTAACCCGTTAAACGACCCACTCGGTATAACTTTCGATAATGGCAGCACCATGATAGGAAAGTGGTTAAATTTTACGGGAGACTTCGCTACGGACCCAGACATCTCCTTTATCATCCGGTCTTGGTACCGGCAATGGCGAAATTTAAAATTTATGCTGTAATTCTTTAATTTGTTTCAAATATAAGACCGAATAAACAAATTTTTTACTAAATTACCTGGAGAGTTAAAAAAAGTTAATAATTCGTAATTAGATAAATATGGTAGCCCGCTGCTCATAATGTCAGTATATTTCGAAACAGCATTAATATCAAAATACGAACGGGACTCGCTGCAAGGGGCCGTGCAATATGCAGTGAAATCTGGTCTTGGAGGAGTCATACGTTGCCTGATGCGTAATTT